TTGCTAAATAAAGTCTTACTACCAATCTTGGCTGTCAGCTCAAGAAACAGTATAATTCGGATGTACAGATTGTTTGACAAATCCTATTTTCCAATTTTCGATTTTCTAATATGATCTCCACCTTATCACTACGCCGAACTTGGAACGAAAATCACTCTTCTGACCTAAATATCTTCAAATTTTCGATTGATAATTCGACTATTTCAGAATGCGCAAGTTGACAATAGTCTTACTGGTAACGGCGATAGCCGTTGTGGTCGCTGCTAAGAAAGGAAAAGCAAAGAATGACACATCGTCAAGCTCATCCTCAAGCTCCGAAGAAGGTTTGACATCCTAGTCGAAATATCAATATATGTATGTTTGATTTTCAGAGAGAGAAGGTTCCGGAGAATCCACTCTGAAGAAGGTCAAGGCAGGAGGTAAGACTCGCTGTTGACTAGAACTTACAAATTTCCATCGCCGTTTATTGAAGGTCAAAAAAGTGGAAACTGTAATACATGATTTAGTTGAGAAATTGGAGAAAGAAGAAGCTAAAAAGTCTGAGAAAAAAGAAGATAAGAAGTCTGAAGATAAGAAGGAGAAAGGTGATGAAGAAGGAAGCGGAGGAGGAAAGCTATGAAGATAAGATGAGAGGAAAGATATATCTCACTCTTGTCTTCTCACGAACTCATACCGGAAGAAAAAGCTGTTTGTTCATATGTATATTTCTTTTTATCGCAATATTATCATTGTATAAACATGCAAATTCAACACCATGCCTTTTTGAATGAAATCTGCTTCATTCTTGTCGCTAAAAACGTTTTACATAACACTAGCCCTTTCCAGCCCAGTTCGTTCGCTGTGTGTAAAAGCTAGAGGTGACGCGAGGCTCGAGGGTTTCTATTCCATACACCCAATTTAGTACGCTGCACTCTGTGCGAAAATTTTGAGCGAAAGATTATGGACCGTAGTAAAGCTGCCTCAGTCGGTCTCAGTTGGAAAAGATTTCTGCCCTCAGTCAATCCATTAATTGATAATTAATTGATAATGCCAACAAACCACAATGACAAAATTGAGAACGCCACGTCCATGCAAGTATAGTAGGCGCCATCTGTCTAGTCACCTCCCG